CCCGGGTCCCGGCGTTCCCTGCCGACTGGGAGCTCTCCCGTAGGCAGCAACCGGCGCCGCCGGGCGCCCGGTGTGTCTCCGGGGCTTCTCTTCTTGTTGCCACCTTAGCTCACCGAGAGGTCGGAGGCCAGCTCCTCTGGCTGGCGGGCGCCGATCCACTTGGGCCTGCCCCGCCGAGCACTCCAGGAAAACGGGCTACGCCGGAGGCTCCGGATTTGAGCCGTGTTTGGGAGCTTTTGTGCGCCGCCCGTACTGTTTGTTAACGCCCGTCATGTGAAAAGTCCTCCCTGCGCGTGGGTGCCGTGTCCGCGCGGATCTCTGGAAGACCACGGCGCATCGGAGAGACTTGCGGTCACGCCCGACGCCACTGGTCTAGACTCGAGAGAGGCGGTCGTATTCTCCGACGAGTTGGCCTTAGTTCTGATTGTTACTCTGTCTCGTAGAACTTTGTCACGATGAACACGTTCTAGACCTTTGGTGTTTGAGTGTGGTTGCCTCTTGCCACACAGGGCCATTTAGTATTTGACATGTAGTTAGTATGTCTGAGAAACTACTTACTTTTAAAGTAAATTTTAAGTAACTTCATGCAATTAGTGGCTACGTATCATTATTAGGACAGATCCACGCCGAGTATTTTTGTTGTTGTTATTTTCTTTTTGTTTTTAGACAGGTTCTCTCCACACAGCCCTTGCTGTCCTGGAACTCACTCTGTAGACCAGACTGGCCTCGAACTCATAGAGATCTGTCTGCCTCTGCCTCCCAAGTGTTGGTATTAAAGGCGTTTATCACCGTGTCCTGTGCCGAGTTTTAAAACAAGTTGCTGAACCTGGCCGTGGTGGTGCATGCTTAATCCCAGATCTCTGTGAAATCGAGACCAGCCTGGTCTACAAGAGCTAGTTCCAGGACAGTTGCAAAGCTACAGAGAAACCCTGTCTCGAAAAACAAAAACAAAAAGAAAAAAAGAAAAGAAAGAAAAAGAAAAACAAGTTGCTGATTCATATTTTTCAGCCAAGTAGTTTTCTTTGAAAATGTAGTTAATGAATGACTATTGAGGGCCAAGTTTTATAACTGGAAGAAACATCTGTTAGACTCACCAAATTTCTGTCCTCTTGTCAGTTTTAAGAGATCTTTATCCTTTTTATGTGACCATGTCAGCTCAGAGTGAGTGGCATGTTTTATGGAGATAACGTTGGCTCTTGGAAAAAGTACTAATTATGCCATTCTCGTCTGAGATATAGGCATATTTAACATCTTGAATACGTTCTGATATTAAGAAAATAGCACATTGGCCCCTTAAAGGAACAAAATCTTGTGTGTTTGTATTTTGAGACCATGTCTTGCTGTGTAGCCCAGGCTGGTCTCCAACTTTTGATTCTCCTGCCTAAACTCCCAAGTTTGGATTCCAAGAATGTGCCACCAAGATCAGCAAGGCCAGCATTCTTTCAAGAATCAGCCTAATGGTGGCACTCACATTTAGTCTCAGCATTCAGGAGACTGTGTTCTATGTGAGTTTGAGGACAGCCAGGTCTACACTGAGAGACATTGTCTCAACAATATGTGTGTGTGTGTTTTTAAAAGATTAAGAAAAAACTCCATTTATATCTGGACCTAGAACACCAGGAAGTATGAAATAGTCAAGTCTTTGAGAGAACCTGGATTCCCACTTGGTTGGTGAAAAAACTGTAAGCCATCTTCTCACAGATCCTAAGTAGAAATCAGAGAATGTGAAAGCATGCTCTCTTGTTGCTGAGATTTCTGTAACTTTGAATCAGAATCTCCTTAGACCATTAGTCAAATGGAATCGTGATGCCGACTGTACCAGTTGACTTCATATTATCCTGGGCAAGACTGGTTTTTTGTTTTTTGAGAAGGTATCTCTGTAGCTTTGGAGACTGTACTAGAACTCTGTAGACCAGGCTGGCCTTGAATTCAAGAGAGGTCTGCTTGTCTCTGTGTCCGGGGTGTCGCATTGGGCAAGATACTTAACCTTTATAGATTACAGCTTCCTTATTTGTAAGCCTTTTTGTTTTGTTTTGAGACAGGATCTCCCTGTGCTTCTCTGACTGGCCTGGAACTCACAGGGATCCACCAGTCTCTGACTTCCCGTGTGCTGGGGTTAAAGGCGTGCGCTTCACCATACTCAGCCTTTGTGTGCCCTTTTAATGTCGATTGTGTTAGAATGACTGACTTCAACGCGGCTGTCATTAAACAAGACTGTTATTGGTAGTAAAGGTTCCATTTGCCCTGTAGAAGTGTCTTATGTGAAAATACAGATGGAAGAGAAAAACTTTAAATAGGTGAATTATTCTTCCATTTTATTTTATTTTTTGTTTCAGAGACAGGGTTTCTCTGTGTAGTCCTGGCGATTCAAAACTGCTCTGTAGACCAGGCTAACCTCAAACTGAGATCTGCCTGCCTCTGCCTCCAGAGTACTGGGATTAAAGTCTTGTGCCGCCACTGCGCGGCCTTGGAATAGCCAACTTTATTCTGAGCATCAGACAGTTTCTACTCTGAGGGCTAAGAGAAACCGCATGAATAAAGTTCCTGCGAGTTCATGCTGTAAACAGTCAAGGACAAGCTGCATGTGACAAAAATACGTTTTTCCATAGAGACATTTCAAACATTTAATTGCAAACAACAGCAAGCAGTAATGAGTAATCTGAAGTCAAATCAACTCCTGTCAACTGCACTTGGGAGGAGCACAAAAACACATTCCAAGAACAATTCCGCGTTTTGAAGAAACAGGTCATAAGACTTGTTTTCTCACAAACACTCAGAATTTTCATCCCACTTCATTCTTGTATGCGTTCCTGCAGTAGCATATGCCCATGCTCACAGAATATTGTGGGAAATGATGTGTTTTAATTGTAAGGAAATTTCATAAGACATGTACCCCGGTTGGCTTAAAATTTTGATGATCTTGACCCTCCTTCCACCACCTCACTAGGGCTGGGAGTACAAGCATGGGCCACCGCGTAAAGCCAGGCATTGAAGTGTGTAATTCCAGTATTCCTGTTCTACAGTGGGAGGTGGAAACAGGAGAATCCTTGACAGGTCTTAGACTAGCTAGTTTATTTTATGCTTTGGTAAAACTAACCCCCTGAAGATATGAAGGGCCAATACTTGAGGTTGTATTGAATTTTAGGCCTGCTTTGGCGAGTAAAATGGTGCTGGGCATGGTGCACACCTTTAATTCGTGCACTCAGGAAGTGGAGGCAATCTCATCTCAGAGTTGGAGGCCAGCCTGGTCTGCATAGTTCCAGGACAGCCAGAGCCACTTAGACCTTATCTTTAGTGGTGTGGGACCAGGGAGTAGAAGGCTGAGGATATAGCTCTGGTAAAGAAAGTGCCTGCCTAGCTAGCCATATATGAGATTGTAGATTCAATCGTTCTAGTGCTAGATAAGTAATAATTTGCAAACTATGTGTAGTGGGGTGTACATACCTATATTTCCTATATTCCTCAGGAAAAGGCAGACCTGGTATACATGACCCAGTATGGTCTACAGAGTGAATTCCAGGATAGGCTACAAAACTACAGAGACCCTGTCTCGAAAAACCAAAACCAAATAAAAACAAAAGAAAGATAAAGTGGGCTACTGGGATAGTTCAGCAGGTAAAAGGCATTTGCTGCCAACTTTGAAGACCTGTTAAATCCTTGTACCTCATAGAGTTCAAGGAGAGAACAGACTTCCAGTAGCCATCCTCTGACTTCCACTCTCAGATGAATGTCGCCTACACCCACATGACATAAATAAAAACAGGGCATGGTCGCACAAGCCTTTAATCTCAGTACTTGAGAATCAGAGGCAGGTAGTTAGTTCTCTGGGAGCTCAAGGCCAGCTCAGTCTACAGTAGAATTCCAAGACAGCCATTATATAGTGAGACCCTGTTTCAAAAGAAACAAAAATAATAAACTTGCAAGAGCAGGATCTCAGTTTCAAAAACATTATCTCTCTTCATTTCAGATGGAAATCATATTTCTGTTTGGGTGATACCTTCGGGAAAGATCTTAAAAAGTTGCAGGTGATTTAAGATTAACATTTTCCTTTATTATGTTGATGTGCGTGTGTGTGTATTGCATGTGGAAGTCAGAGTACAATTTTGGTGTCCTAATAATTGGATTGAATTTAAGTTGCTAGGCTTGGTGGCAGGCATCTTTACCCACTGAACCATCTTTCAGCCCAAGTGCTGGAATTAAAGGCATGCACAGCCACTACCTGGCTAACTTTTTCTCTTAAAGAAGACAAAGTTCAGTTTAACCATAGCAAATTGCAGGAACAGAGGTTCTGGTTCACTCAGTAAAGTGCTTCCCACAAAAACTGGAGAATCTGAGTTATAACCCCTAGCACCCTCATGAGAAGCTGGATGTGGCGGGTGTACAAACACCACCGGTGCTGGAAGGGCAGAGAGAGGAGAGTTCTCTAGGCTGGGGGCCAGCTGTCCAGCCAGTTTGTGAACCCAGGTTCAGGGAAAGCCTTGCCTCAAAAAAAAAAAAAAAAAAAAAAAAAAAAAAGGCGAGCCAGGAGTGGTGATGCATGCCTCTGAAATCTCAACACCTGGGAGACAGAGGCAAGCTGATATCTGTGAGTTTGGAGGCCATAGTGAGTTTCAGGCCGGCTGGGGCTATGTATTGTGAGACCCTGCCTCAAAACAAAAGAGAACAAGCCAAATAAATAAATAGAAAAAAAGAAAGAAAGAAAGGCAGGCTAGCAAGATAGCAAGCTTGCTTACTGGGGCAGCAGTGGTGGTGCACACCTGTAATCCCAGCACTTGGAAGGCACAGGCAAACAGATCTCTGTGAGTTCAATGCTGAATGATGGTGGTATATGCCGTAAATCCAGGACTCGGAAGGCAGAGGCTAGTAGATTTGAGTTCCAGGACAGCCAGTGCTACATAGTGAGTCCCTGTCTTGAAAAACAAAACAAGCAAGGTGGAGAGCAGTACAGAAAGACGTTGGCATTGACCCCTGGTTTTCGTATGCATATGTAGACACGTGTACATATATGCACACATACATAGGTGAGCATATGCCATATCTATACTCAAAAAGTTAAATTGTAAGGAAGAGTGGATATGTTCTTATTTTATTGTGTATAAGTATGAAATTCTCAGGAATAAAGGAGAATTATTATTAAAAAGGTTAAGTTATAAACATTACTTTGCTGTCCCGCAATAAATACTTAGATATATTTTTAGTTTTATTTGGCGCACTACATTTTAAAAAGTGAATATAAGCCAGGTGGTGGTGCTGCATGCCTTTAATCCCAGAGCTCAGGAGACAGAGGCAAGTGGATCTTTGAGTTCAAGGCCAGCCTGGTCTAAAAGAGCAAGTTCCAGGACAGGCTCCAAAGCTACTGAGAAACCCTGTCTCGAAAAACCAATAAATAAATATTCTTTCTTTTTAAAAAAAAAAGACTTATTTATTATGCATACAATGCTCTGCTAACATGTACACTCCAGAAGAGGGCACCAGATCTCATTACAGATGGTTGTGAGCCACCGTGTAGTTACTGGGAATTGAACTCAAGACCTCTAGAAGAGCAACTAGTGCTCTTAACCTCTGAGCCATCTCTCTAGCCCATAAATAAATAATTTTTAAAAAGTATTTAAAAAGTGAATATAGTTAACATATCAATTTAAACTTGGTGGTATTTTTATAGTCTAAATAATTGAAAGTGGTTGTGTAATTTTAATTTTTAATTTCAGGGATCTCTGTGAGTTCAAGGCTCTCCTGGTCTGCATAGAAAGTGCCAGGCCAGCCTGGGCAGCATAGTGACCCTTCTTTTAAGAATATGGTTTTATGGGGAGTTACGGGGGGGAAGGTAGAAGGAGCAGGAGGAGGGGAGTGGGAAATGGATTTGGCATGTAAAATGATAAAATAAATAAAAGGTTTTTTTAAGATTTATTTATTTATTAATTATACAGTGCTCTCCCTGTATGCATGCCTGCAGGCCAGAAAAGGGCACTAGATCTCATTACAGATGGTCTTGAGCCACCATGTGGTTGCTGGGAATTGAACTCAGGACCCTTAGAAGAGCAAGCAGTGCTCTTAACCACTGAGCCATCTCTCCAGCCCTAAAAGAAAGTTTTTTAAAAAATAAATAAAAGAATGATTTTAAGGTAAGTATGGTGTCTAACACCTTAAATCCCAACACTCTGAAAGGCAGAGTCAGACGGATCTGTGTAAGTTTGTGGTCAGCAGATTCTGCATAGTGAGTTTCAGGACAGAGACCTTATCTCAAAAAGCAAAAACAAAAAACCCAAAGAATAAAAATAAGGGGGCTGGAGAGATGGCTCAGAGATTAAGAGCATTGCCTGTTCTTCCAAAGGTCCTGAGTTCAATTCCCAGCAACCATATGGTGGCTCACAACCATCTGTAATGGGGTCTGGTGCCTGCTTCTGACCTACAGCCATACACACAGACAGAATATTGTATACATAATAAATAAATAGATATTTTAAAAGAAGAATAAAATAAGGGGTTTTATAGTCCTATAGACTGCCTACATATTAATATATATTTTCCCCTGCATGTAGTCTTTATTTTTTTAATTAATTAATTTTTGTTTTTTGAGAGTCGGCATTCTTGTATGTAGCCTTGGAACTCACTCGGTAGATCAGGCTGGCCTCGAATTCAGAGATCTAGCTACTTTTATTTACCTCAGAGTGCTGGAATTAAAGGTGTGTGCCACCACTTCCCAGCTTCATTCTTCATTTTTTAAAACAATGATTACTTTGTTTGCTTATGGTTTTGCCTGAATATATGTCTGTATACTAACCTCAGCAGTCAGATGAGGCCATTGGATCTCCTGGATGAGAGTTAGATGTGAACTGCCATGTTCTGGGAAAAAAGCAACTCTTAACTGCTGAGTCTTCCTTTCTTCTTTTTTGGGAAGGGGATTCAGGGTCTCATTATAGCCTTGACTGGTCTTGAATCTACCTGCCTCGACCTCTCCAGAGCTGGGACTGAATACGTGTTTCTGGCCATATAGTCATTCTTTTTTTATTTGTGTTTTTGTTTTTGTTTTCAAGACTGGGTTTCTCTGTATCTCTCACTGTTCTGGAACTTGAACTTGGTTCCATAGAGCAGCCTGGCCTCCAACCATCTCACCTCTGCCTCCCTTTTTTTTTTTTTTTTTTTTTTTAATAGAGAAAGGGTTTTTCTGTGTAGCTCTGACCTAGAACTCGCTCTGTAGACCAGGCTGCCTTGAACTCACAGAGATCCACCTTTCTCTTATCTCCTGAATGCTGGGATTAAAGTCATGTCACATCACTGCCCTCCACTGCCAGGCTTGTCTTGGGTTCTTAATGTCAAGTTTCAGGGGTTAGCAGAACTCTTAGAGTTGGAAAATTAGTTCATTTTGTAGACTAGAGGAAGATGATGAAGGATTATGAAACTTTTTTTTTCTATATATGCACATACTTTCCAGATACATGACAGATGGTTGTGAAATAGTTTTCTTTCCCTACAAGTCGTAGTGAGACAGAACTGTATCCTTAATCGTGTGATTTCTGTTTCATTCTGGGGCATGATTAGCAAAGCTTAAACTTGAGTAGCTGACTCCTTACAGTTGTCCTCCATTTGTACAGCTAGCAATGAAGGTACATTTTTTTCCCTGAAGGACTCTGACCAAAAAAAAAAAAAAAAAAGGAAAAGGAAAAATCGATTGGAATTTTGGAGTTCTTTAAAAAAATTGATTTGTTTATTGTATATGTCTGTGTGAGTGCTTTTTGTGTAGGGAACAAATTGAGTCACTTCTGCCCACCATGTTGGTACCATGTTTGTGTTAATTTCAGGAATGGAGGCAAGTCTCTTTGGAATATGAGTCCTCGTCATGGGGAAGACATCCTTGCATTTTCATGCCTTCTTGGGTTTCTGTCTTAGTGAACGGATTTCCCTTTGCTAAACATAGGCCATTGAAATGGCTAGTGAGGTGTTCTGAATGAAGTCAGAGTTGAGACAGCAGCTGAGCAGTGGTGTTGCACGCACACCTTTGATCCCAGCACTCTTGGAGGCAGGTGGATCTCTTGAGCAAGAATTGAGATAGACTATAGGCTAGGACTGGGTTACTTTGATTCTTGAATGAAAGAATAGTTCCTGAAAGAGAAATAGTAATACTTTTTTTTTCTCTTTTTCTCTTAGAAGACAAAAACGCTAATGCATTTGAAACAACGATAAAATTGGGGGGAGGGGAAAAAGCAACTGATTTCCTGATTCTCCAACTTGGCTGGATGTTAAGATGTCCGTGGACATGAACAGCCAGGGTTCTGACAGCAATGAAGAGGATTATGACCCAAACTGTGAGGAAGAGGAAGAAGAGGAAGAGGACCCTGGGGACATAGAGGACTACTATGTGGGAGTAGCCAGTGATGTGGAGCAGCAGGGGGCTGATGCTTTTGATCCTGAAGAGTACCAGTTCACTTGCTTAACCTATAAGGAATCTGAGGGTGCCCTTCATGAACATATGACCAGCTTAGCTTCTGTCTTAAAGGTGAGTAGTGCTGTCAGTTCAAATGTAATCTCCCTGGTTAAATTGATGGATGATGTGTTAACTAATGTCTCTTACATATAACTAGGAACCCAAACCGATGTATGGATTGCTTCAATTAGATATTTTGTCATATTAACTTGTTTTGAAATGTAAACATGTCCAAGGTCTTCAGATTAATAATTACAAAGGAAGTATAAATAAATTCAAGACAGATCAGAAATCTGTGACAGAATTGCCCAGCTTTTACTTGTTTCAGAAAGTGAGTTCCATGACTCTTAATGAAATGATGTGCATCTGAACCATTGTTTCATACAGCTGTTTGAGTGTCTTAAAAGTGTCTGTGTTCCCTAGTTTGCCCTATATTGAGTGTCTTTGGACTGAGAAATTCATTGAGTTCAGGTACTGATAGTATTATCTGTTTTGAGAGTTTTCATAATAACCTTAAGAAAAACAGTTCTCAGAGCTTGTATTTGGGAATATCAGTATAAAAATTTAAAAGACTGACTGTACTCAGCTGTTCCAACAGATGCTTTTTTTTTTTTTTTTAACCGTTTAAGCCAATATTCTTTTGGAATCTCAGGTCAGTTATTGCCTTATTGATACCTAACATGTTTTTTAAAATGCGCATTTAGGTATTTTCCCAGCATGCTTTCTTTGTAAGATGTTCACTATAACTTCAAAATGAGAACATTTATTTTACTTTTTTGCTGACTTTTCCTTTATGAATTATCCCATGGATTTTGTTGGGTCAGATTGAAGACCAGTGGGTCTGATGAGGTGGCTAAGCAGGTAAAAGTGCTGGTCACACAAGCCTGATCACCTCAGTTCAATCTCTGGAACCATGTAAAGGTGGAAGGAGAGAACCGACTGCAATTACCCTCTGGTCTCCACATAAGTGCTGTGCCAAGTATGCTCCTCCTTCCCTAAATAAGTCAGATTGAAGGTTAGGAGCCATGGTTGACTGGATGGTAACACATCCGTAATCCCAGCACTGGGGAGATGGCAGTGGAAAGATCATAGTGAGCTCAAGGCCCCAGATCCATAGAGAGTTCAAAACTGGCTGATGCTCCATGAGACACTATCTCAAAAAAATAACCAAATAAAACAAGACATTCCAAACAAATGTTGTAGTTATTTAAAAGGAAATACCAATATGTGTCATGAATTTCTAGAAAGGATTATTGCATGTAATGTCTGGTGTGGACTTGGACATGGTTCTTTAATCCCAGCACTTAGGGAGGTAGAGGCAGGGGAATCAAGAGTTCAAAATCATCCTAAGCTACAAAAGGTGTTTGAAGCCAGCGTGCGATACATAAAGTCCTGCCCAACATTTCCCTGGTCTCCTTCAGAAATACCTCAGAGCTGGGCATTGTATTGCATACCTTTAATTGAAGCACTTGGGAAGGCAGAAGCAGCTGGATCTCTTACATTCTAGGCCAGCCAAGGCTACATAGTGAGTGAGACCTCGTCGTGATATTTCATTTGTATTTTAATTAATTTACTTGCCTGAAGATCAGTAAAACAGCTCCACTGGTCAGTCTTACAGACCAGGCAGTGGTGACACACACCTTCAATCCCAGTAGCCTCACACTAGTTTGCCATAGAAACCAAGTGGTAGTGGTGCATGCCGTTCATACCAACCATATAGAGGAATATAAGATGGGAGGAGACAGCTCTTACAGTCTCATTCTGAGATTCCTGGAGGCAGGATCACATTTCAGACTGAGGTGTAGAGAGAGGTAAGAGGCTGGGGGTTTTGCTTTTCTGACCTCAGGTTGAACCCTGATGTCTGTCTCTGGGACTTTATTGATCATGCTACAAGACCCCATCTTCCCTCCCCCCCCCAAAAAAATCCCTCAAATCCTATACACCTATAGCGTTTGACCACAAGTGTGAACTCAGCCAAGCAATGATCTAAGGGAGTCCTGAGAACAGAAAAAGAAAATAAGGTCTAGGGAAAGCTTTTCAGGGAGGTGACCATATGTCACTTTCTTAAGGTAGTTATACATAACAAAAGTGTATGGTATTACACACACACATGAAAAAAAGAAAGGATTGATATTTGAACAGGTTATAAACCATAAGTGAGGCAGAAAAGTCAGCACAGAACACAGAGTTAGGAGTCCTTTGTATAAATGGGAGCATACTGACAACCATGTTCAAATGAAACTGTATAGTACAGATCCACAAACTTGACAGTTCCTCTTTGAATTTCTTTTTTTCCTTTTTTGAGACAGGGTTTCTCTTTGTAGCCCTGACTGTCCTAGAACTCGCTCTATAGACCAAGCTGGCCTTAACTCACAGAGATCTACCTACCACTCACTGCCTTCCAAGTATTGCTGTATGCCACCACCACTGCTTGGCTCTCCTTTTTAAAAATTTTTTATTTATTTATTTTGAGACGGTTTCTCTGTATCTATTGGAGCCTGTCCTGGAACTTGCTGTGTAGAACAGGCTGGCCTCTAACTCACAGAAATCAGCCTGCCTCTGCCTTCAGAGCGCTGGGATTAAAGGTGTATGCCACCACTGCCCAGTTCTCTTCTCATTTTTTTTTTAAGATTTCATTTCTAAAGTTGTGTGTGTGCATGTGTTTTTGTATGGCTGTGGGCATGTGACTGCAGTTGCTTGAGGAGGTCAGAGGTGTGGGATCATCATCATCCTGGAGCTGGAGTTGCAGGTGGTGGTAAGCTGCCTGATAGGGGTTCTGGGAACTGAACATGTGTCCTCTGCAAGGGCACTAAAAGCTGTTAACCACTGAGTACCTCTCCAGCCATTGAATCCACTCCCCAACCACTTCTTCCCCTCCCCACTTTTTTATTTTGAGAGAGCCCTGACTGTCCTGGAAATAATGATGTAAACCAGGCTACCCTTAAACTAACAGAATCCTGCCTGTCTCTGTCTTTCCAATGCTGGTTTAAAGGTGTAGGGACACCACGGCTCACATTTTCAGAGGGTTTTTGTTTAGTTTTTATGGTTTTCTTTTTGTTATTTGTTTCTATGTAGTTCTGGTTGTGCTGGAATTTGATACGTAGACCAGACTGACTTTGAACTCGTAGTATGCTTGTGCTTTGGTTTTGATGATTTTGAGGCAGTGTTGCTATGTATGTAGTTCAGGTGGTCCTTGGACTCCAAGTACTCCTAAGTCAGTCTCCAGAGTTGGGACTACAGGTGTCTTCCTGCTAATCCAGCTCTTTTTTTGGAGCAGGGGAATGATGTACTGCAATCTTCTGATGGCTTTATGTTTGATCCTTTGTGCATTTTTTTGTTTGTTTGTCTTGTTTTTCAAGACAGGGTTTATCTGTAGTTTTTGGAGCCTGTCCTAAAGCTAGCTCTTGTAGACCAGGCTGGCCTTGAACTCACAGAGATCCGCCTGCCACTGCCTCCCAAGTGCTGGGATTAAAGGCGTGCGCCCGGCCCCTTTTGTGCATTTTGACATCATCTCTTACACTAGATTGCCAGGTCCTTCCCATTGTTGAAGTCACAATTTCGCATTCACAGTAGATACTAGATAATTTCTTGAATACTGTGGTTTTCTTAATTGTTGAGCTGTGACTGCTGCTTTTGGTGGGAGTTAGATTTCCTAGTCTTTGTTGTGTCTTCTTCTAAATTTTCAGGAAAGGAAATAATTCTGCCTTCAAGACTAAGAAAAGAAAGAACAGAAAGAACCAGGAACGGTATTGGAGAATTACGAGATGGAGAGTTGAAGCAGGTTAAGAAGGAAATGAGATAAAAGAGAAAGATAACTCACAAAAGCATTGGTGCTTGTAGACAGACACATTTTGATTGATTTTTCTCTTCCTTCAATTCACCAAGGAGCATGTTAGCATCTTTTTTCTTTTTTCTTTTTCTGGTTCTGGTCAATACTGGTTGAAACTTAGTTGTCATACCTATAGAGGAACACTGGTTCCAGAGTGGTTGGAGTTGGTTAGCAGTTAAGGCTAGCCTGGGCTATATACTGAGACCTTGTATTTAAAAAACAAACAAAACGAGGTCCCATGGGCTAGAGAGATGGCTCAGTGGTTAAGAGCATTGTCTGCTCTTCCAAAGGTCCTGAGTTCAATTCCCGGCAACCACATGGTGGCTCACAACCATCTGTAATGAGGTCTGGTGCCCTCTTCTGGCCTGCAGGCATACACACATACAGAATATTGCATGCATAATAAATAAATAAATAAATAGATAGATAGATAAATAAGTAAATTAAAAATAAAAAACAAACAAAACAAGGTCCCATGGGCTAAAGAGATGGCTCAGCGGTTAAGAGCACTGCCTTCTCTTCCAAAGATCCTGAGTTCAATTCTCAGCAACCACATGGTGGCTCACAACCATCTGTAATGAGGTCTGGTGCCCTCCTCTGGCCTGCAGGCATACACGCAGACAGAATATTGTATAATAAATAGATAAATAAATAAGATATTTTTTTAAAAAAGCGAGGTCCCAGGCGTGATGGTGCACACTTTTAATCCCAGCACTCAGGAGGCAAAGTCAGGCAGATCTCTGTGAGTTCCCACTCTCTGAGTTCAAAGCCAGCCTGTTCTACAAAGCAAGGACTATAGAGAGAAAAAACTCCTGTCTTGGAAAATCAAAACACAAAAACCAAGGGTTGCAGACATAGCTCAGTTTAGAACTGTTATGCAGCATCACATGAATGGGGCTGGGCTCTCTGTTTTGAAATACAAAAAGCAAAATGTGGTGGAAGTCAAATCAAGAGCTAAGGAAATGTCTGTCAGGAAATGAAAACTATAGATATTCAAATGGTTGTGGGATGAGAGAGACCACTGCAGGATGACTGCTTCTTGTCAGAATGGGAGGGAGAGAATCTTGTATGCGTAAGTTTTAGTGATTCTCTGGCAATATTTAAAGAAAAATTACTCTGGGTATGGTGGCAAGCAGATCTTTGAGTTTGAGGCCAGCCTGGCCTTGAGAATTTCATTATAGTCAGAACTACATAATGGAGAGATATTGTCTCAGCAAAAGATAAAAGAAGAAAAAAAAAGGAA